TATATCGTCTGCCGGTGTTATCTAATCTTAACTCGTGATCGCCCCTGTTACATAAGTATAACCTAACTCGGTCTAAAAATAGCAAGACAATATGGAGATACATGTGTAATAAAAGCTGCACTATGTTGACATAAAGTTTTATGGTTTGGTTTGAGAGTATCACGAGTGATAGAATGGGTGGTGCATGTGTCTATGTCAGATATAAATAGTAGAAATGTGTAGTATAGGTGTGTGGTATAGGTGTGTTGTATAGGTGTGTGGTATAGGTGTGTGGTATTAATGAGTGGTATAAGCGTATGGTATAAGTGTGTGGTATTTCTTTACTTAGCATATTTTCTTAATATATTTCAACTCTCTTTACTTAATATATTTGAGCTTTCTTTACTTAATATATTTCAACTTTCTTTACTCGTATATTTCAACTTTCTTTACTTGTGTATTTTAACTTTTTATCTGCCACCTGGAATTCCCCATATGGACTGATGAAGATGACGCTAATTAAAAAAGTAATTAAAAAATAGTAATTAGAAAAATTCCCTCGTTGATGAATCTTTGGTCCATTTATCTGCATATTAATGAGGTTAAACTGTCGTTTGGAGTGTTTTGGAATCCACATCCGGGTCATTAAGCACGTGAATACAGAACGAAATCCTAGCCAGGGATTATCATGAAAATATGGACATCCGCGTCAGTTAAGTTGGTGGTTGTTACTGTGGTCAGCTTGTTTAGTAATGTGGTTATGGTCAATGGTGCTTTGTACGGACACGGTGTTACCGTTCGTGGTTTTACTTTCAAGATTGTTGTGAAAATAGGTGTTGGATATAGAGTTTTTTGGTAGGTTTTTAAAAAGTTTTATTTACACATTCTGAGTAGTTGAGTGTTTTTATATAGGCGAATATAACTCCTTGTAAAATTAATATTTGTATCCTATTTTAGTGAAAGCACTCAGAATCCTGCCTTATTTCTTTGGGAGAGTGTGTTCTGTTTATGTAACCCATAATGGGTTAGGCTTGTGGATTTGAGTTAGTGTAGCCGTGTGGTCGAGTGTTGCTAGCAAAGTTTCGCCAAGCTGGCTAAGGTTCGAATCCTGATGGGTCCTAATGTGATCTTTAAGTGGGACAGATTCCTTGTTGTTGGCTATTGTATAAAAAATATTTCAGTAAACTCTACCTCCACTTTATAAAATAAATTCTTCAGTAAACTCTACTTCCACTTTATAAAATAAATTCTTCAGTAAACTCTACTTCCACTTTATAAAATAAATTCTTCAGTAAACTCTACTTCCACTTTATAAAATAAATTCTTCAGTAAACTCTACTTCCACTTTATAAAATAAATTCTTCAGTAAACTCTACTTCCACTTTATAAAATAAATTCTTCAGTAAACTCTACTTCCACTTTATAAAATAAATTCTTCAGTAAACTCTACTTCCAGTTTATAAAATAAATTCTTCAGTAAACTCTACTTCATGAGGTCGGACCCCTAAGGTCCTTGTACCAAAAAAGTGAAGTCTTCGTTTATGTGTAGTTAATTGTGAAAACAAAAAAAGATAAACTTTTTGGATAAACGAAACAAAATACCAGCGACAGTTGTTGTAACGTGCTTCATTCGCACAATTTGGTGTCAGAATATCGAGATAAGGGCACGTTCAATTACTGGTATCGATACCCCCGCGTCTTGTTATCTTGTAGAAAAGCCAGGTTTCGTCACGTCCCGGTAATCGATTCGATCCACAGAGCTCCGGTGGAAAAACTAATTGAATTGACACACACAGACAGGTGGGATAAATTTGAAAACAATTTTTGTATTTGGCACCAGTCAAAATAGTTGGGTGAATAGCCGCGTTGAAAATAATTTTAATTTTAGCACTATGTGTGTAGATAACTGCGTTTAAAAAATATTTTTTCAGCACAAAGTTTTTAAATAGATACGTTGAAATTAAGTATAGTTTTATCGCTGGTACAGATTTTGGTGCGTTAATATTTGTTAAGAATAATATAAAGTTTAGCAAGAAGTTAAAATTGTTTTTTTTAAAAATAATTTTTGCTTAGCAGCTTTCAACTGGTCAATTCGAAACAAAATAGACATAAAAATAATAATCAAATACGTTAGCATTTACTACATGGTGTAGTTATGTGATAAGGGGGGGGGGGGTGGTCTATCCATTGAGCCACTCTCTCCCTGTATAAAAATAGATCTATACAGAAAGCGAAAAAAAATCGACAAACCGCCCCAAGCGTTATGTGCAGTTACGGTATTTCTCAATAGATTAAGTCGCCGTTTCATGCATTGATCGCTTTTGGACACGATCTGCAATGGCTGATATGGCTAGGTACAGCACAAAGGCGATTAGTGGTTTAGCACAGCAGGGGGTAGAGGAGAGGGGGGGGGGGTGTGCCAGTTGGGTGTGTGTGTGGGGGGGGGGGGGGGGGGTATTGGATATGGTGTGCGGTAAAGCTGGCCGGTCACATTAGCCGTACAGACACGGATACAGGACATGCCATGTCAGCTTTTGTCCTGGTGCGCCGCGTGATAAGTCCTGGTGGGACTTTAGGACACGTTGATCGACCCACTAAGGCATATGCCCCTCAGTCGTACTAAGACATATGCCCCTAAGACTTACTAAGACATATGCCCTTCAGACGTACTAAGGCATATGCCCCAGAGAAGTACTAAACCATATGCCCCAATGACGTACTGAATCAAATGCCCCACTGTCGTACTAAGACATATGCCCCACTGTCGTACTAAGACATATGCCCCACTGACGTACTAAGACATATGCCCCACTGACGTACTAAGACATATGCCCCACTGACGTACTTAGACATATGCCCCACTGTCGTACTAAGCCATATGCCCCACTGACGTACCCCAACAAGAGCCCACGTAATGATCACGACCCCAGTTTTCCGAGATTTTTGTGCGCATCCAATTCAACCATGGATGTACGACTTTCCGGTAAACCCCGATTCTAAATCGATTCTTTTGTTTCCGCTTTATTTACCTGTGACGTGGCCGGCGACACACCAACTCGCGTCGTTGTCCATCAAATGTGTTTCAATTGACACGCGTGAAAACTGGCTTACTTTTCTCGTGCGGTGGACGTGACCCTTGACCTTATTGATTCAGATGGGCCAGATAAAAATTCGCCTTGTGGGGAGAACTGGGTTTTTAGCCACGGGAGATATCAGCTGGTCTGGCTTAGCCCGGCTGGACGTCTGCTGTGTAGGGCTTGGACTCGCCCAAAAGATTTTTAAAATTCTTAATTCATCTTTCTGATTCACAAACACCACGTGGTACTAACATTTTTTAAAGGCTTAAAATTACAGTAAAGTAGTTGTTTTTTTTTAAAATTAAATTAAAAAAAAAATGTAATCATCAATAGAAGAGATAACACAGAGTTCATCTGTTACTTTGACCTGCGCTTATCAACGGAGTCAGTGGTTACATTAGGCACGGTCACTATTTTATGAATGGCAGACACTTTTATTTGGAAATGACCGTTAGTGCTTGATGAGACCGCATTGTGAGCGAGTAAATAGCTATTCATGTTTCAGATTGTTGACGATTTTTGTAATTTTTTGTCAAAAGAAAAAGAAATCGAATTTTGTTCCAAGCTTTTATTTACCTTGCTTCCTCGTTATGTCTGTCTGTCTACATCGAAACGGACGAGCGAAATTTCGAGCACTTCTAGCTGACTAATTTCTCTGAAATTCAGTATGTGGGTCAAGACTCAATGACAATTTTTTCTCAGTTCACATTTGACTTTATTTGATGACTAAAGTTTTAATGAATTGATTACAATTTTATAAAATTCGTAGGGTGTCCTACTACTATTCCTCACTTTTATAAGCGCATTGTCATTGTTCATTTGGTGCGCAATTGTAATAGTCATGAAACTCTATTGTATTAAAAAAAAGTATTTCATTCTGTATTGGCGTGCCCTTACGACACGCACAGATGGCATATAAGCCTTAGAGATGCCTGCTTCTGTTTTTAAGATAAGCACACAACATGACTTAATAAGCAAACTAGAAAAAAATCAGCAGCATTCGACATGAGCAATAGTCCTGACCTATAGGACGAGGGTAGACTGAAAGCCGATATTTCCACTCATCAGACCAAAGTTTGCCCGGCCAAAACAAAATGTCCACAGTTTCCTTCCACTCATCAGACCAAAGTTTGCCCGGCCAAAACAAAATGTCCACAGTTTCTTTCCACTCATCAGACCAAAGTTTGCCCGGCCAAAACAAAATGTCCACTGCGACCGTCTCCTTCAGACGAAATTAGTCAACGTCTGCAGTTAGAAGATATCTCCCGATATAAGTATTGGAGAAAATCGATACTGGTCTGATTGCCCTTTCACCCTCTGTCCACTAGAAGCTGACTAGTTTTTTTTTTTACTTTAACTTCCGGTTTTGTTAAAGAAAGAGATTTAACTTAGTGTACGTTATCCAGTAATGTATATTGTATAGTTACGTATTCGACTTAGCAGCATCACTGAAAAACAAAATTTGCTGAAGTTTGATTCGAAACTTATTGGTTTTGACGACTTATGAATAGTTTGCTGTTGATCTTTGTCTCATGACCAGTTCGCTGTTAGTGCTTACGTTAAGATCAGCTGACTGTTGATAGTTGACTTTAGACAAGCTGACTGTTGATAGTTGACTTAAGACCAGCTGACTGTTGATAGCTGACTTAATTATTCACGAGCAGGTCAGGATTCTTGACCACATGATCCAGTAACCGTGTCCTGCTTGACGTCATCGTACAAGGCGAGCTGTCCATTACGTCGTTACGTCATTGTAGCCTCCGCGTGACATGAAGTGTCCATCAAATGGACAGTCGCGATGTTAGTATGTAGTGGCTAGTTTAGGTTGATACCACGATATAACAAGGCATGGATCTTGTTCGGCTCTAAAACAATGGATCTTGTAGGTTTACTTCAATCATCTTCGGAACAATATTGATTTACCTTCCTTTTGTCTGTTTTCAGATAAACCAAATGTAGAATTTACCAAGTGACAAGATTCATCAAGGAAGAAACAAAAAACTTGACACAGACCAAGAAAAAAACAACCAAGCAACAAGTTTCGTTACTTTTGTTCAGAAAACTCTAAACGTGGAATAATCCCTGCCAAGTTTCGACCCCACAGCGTCAAGTTTCTCTGTGTGGTTTAAGATATCGCCGTGTGGTTTGAAGATTTCGCCGTGTGGTTTGAAGACCTCGCCGTGTGGTTGAGGTCCCGTCTTGTGGCTGAGGTTTGTCTGCCGTGCCCCACCCACCATCATTCTGGAGCTAGTCTTGACGTTAGACTCGGGCCTAGGCGAGTCTGGCAGCAGTCATCTGCTCATGTCAGATGACTTTCTGACCCCTGTGGATAGTCCTCCGTCTAATGAAGTAAGTAGGACATTGTCCTTTTTAATTCTATGGGACTTTCGTTAAGGTTTAGACCCCTATCTAATAATTATAGTGATCCGTCTATTGAAGTAAGTAGGACATTGTCCTTTTTAATTCTGTGGGACCTTCGTTAAGGTTTGGTCCCCCATCTAATGAATATAGTCCTCCATCTAATGAAGTAAGTAGGACATTGTCCTTTTTAATTCTTTAGGACCTTCGTTAAGGTTTAGACCAATAAAGTAAGTAGGACATTGTCCTTTTTAATTCTGTAGGACCTTCGTTAAGGTTGGTCCCCCATCTAATGAATATACTCCTCCTTCTAATGAAGTAAGTAGGACATTGTCCTTTTTAATTCTGTAGGACCTTCGTTAAGGTTTAGACCCCCATCTAATAATTATTGTGCTCCGTCTATTGAAGTAAGTAGGACATTGTCCTTTTTAATTCTGTAGGACCTTTTTTAAGGTTTGGACCCTCATCTAATGAATATAGTCCTACTTCTAATGAAGTAGAACACTGTCCTTTTTAAACGATGTAGGACTTAAGTCAATTAATTGTGGTCTAATGAAGGAAGTCGAATATAATTAAAAAAACTAAATTAACCGTTCAAATCTGACTGTCAATGGGGCAGGCGGAGTTAAGTTCACTTGTTTCTGTGACCCCTGCATATGAAGATATAATGTAGTCACAATTTTCCCAGCCGCCTTTAACGTGAGTTAGGTACCCATCAGAGCTGAGTGGACTCAGGGAAGTCCTACGGAGCTGAACCCGAAATCAGAACCCGAGACTTTTGGGTTAGCGTTCGTACGCTCCCATTCGGCATATTCCTATATAATGCTGTAGAACATAGTCACTTAATTAAGGTCTTGTCTTCAATCAATAAAGTCGTTGGATCCTAATTTTCTTATAAAGAAAAATATGGCATTGTGCTTTATATGAGAAAGTATCCTTTGCGTCTCATCTAAAAATAATACGTTAATTTTAGTCAATTAAATAAGGAATTAAGTAGTCCTAAGTCCTCCAGGTAATTGTTCCTCTTAAGGTAAGTAGGACATAGTCCTCCATATTGCAGAAATTTTCCGTTAAATGAAATAGAACAATGCCCTCTATTAAATGAACTCTTATAAAAATTCGTTCAAGTAACAATACGGTGTTGTTAGAAAGTTAACTTACAAGTCTTAGGATCGGAGAACATGTGTTAGACTCGAGTACAAAATGTTAGGATCGAGTACACATCGTATGATCGAGTACATATTTTATAATCGAGTACAAATGTTAGGATCGAGTACACATCGTATGATCGAGTACATATTTTAGAATCGAGTACAAATGTTAGGATCGAGTACACATTGTATGATCGAGTATATATTTTAGAATCGAGTACAAATGTTAGGATCGAGTACACATCGTATGATCGAGGACATATTTTAGAATCGAGTACAAATGTTAGGATCTAGTACACATCGTATGATCGAGTACATATTTTAGAATCGAGTTCAAATGTTAGGATCGAGTAGGCATCGAAAGATCGAGTACATATTTTAGAATCGAGTACAAATGCAAGGATCGAGTCCTAGTGAAGCTACCATCTCAGAGACCATCATTATTATCTAAGACCAATGATGGAGATGGGTGATGCATGCGCATTAGCCTCTAAAACTTGTTTATCTTTTTCCGTTTTGGTCAAAGTCAGTTTTTAGAAGCCACCATTGTTTTTCTAATGATTTTTTTTATGATGAGGCGGGGGAGGGGAGGCGTAGGGACATCTTCATGTTCGGTGGTCAATCATTTTTATTACATGTCATTTGACATCGAAATAACCGGCTACTTGTCATGTGACATCTAATGCCAGACGTCGCTGTGACGCGATATGACTTGATACGGTCTGCGTTTGAGAGTGGAGATAGCCGCGTGACATGCGCGCGCGCTCTAGCGGAAGAAACGGAAGCAGACGAGGGAAGTGCGCGATATCCTCACTGGTGCAAGCAAGATATCTGCCGCCAGCAGAGGACCCCTGATATGGAGGGGTCACGGGGAGTAAAGACCCCTGATATGGAGGGGTCACGGGGAGAAAGGACCCCCATGTGATAGGGCCTGTTTTTAAATGTCGGGGTGCGACGTTATCTCACACCCATCCCGCCACTTCTGATACCATCACGTGTGACGGTTCAAGTTAAATCAGGTCACGATTTCATCAGACGTGTAATTAGTTAACTAATCAGAAAATACAAGTTCCGGTTGGTATCGATTAGTCGTACTCGAATACATTGGGTAGTGTTTGGACTTAAGTTAGGACTAAGGTTAGGTGTAAGGTTTAGTCTAAGGCTTAGACTAAGGTTAGGTGTAAGGTTAGGTCTAAGGCTTGGACTAAGGTTATGTGTAAGGTTAGGTCTAAGGCTTGGACTAAGGTTAGGTGTAAGGTTTGGTCTATGGCTTGGACTAAGGTTAGGTGTAAGGTTTGGTCTATGGCTTTGACTAATGTTAAGACTAAGGACACTGGTAAAAGTTTAATTATATTTGCCTGAAAGAAACACTGAGTGAATCGAAGCCATCTTGTCTTGAAGTGTTATAGATAACAACTGTCTTAAAGCAATTTCGATAACACTCAGTGGGATAACGACCGGACACAATCGAGGGCGATAGTTTGTGTGGAGAGCTGTGGAGTGTGTTCTTGCTGTTTCATGGTCCAAAGTGTGACCCTTAACACGCTACGTGAAACTGATAACCGAGTCCGCCATTTTGGCTCCGGCCTTGACCCGACGCAGCACAGTCACATTTAAAACGCGCTGGTCACTGGTCTATTTTTAGCGCTGGGCGTCTCCGATATATCGGCATCGGATTTTTTTTTTGTAGATTTTTCCGCAATCGATTCTTCTGGAACTCTCTGGACGTGGAGGGGGGTAGGGGGTGGGGGTGAGTATTGAGGCCGCGGCCATGAAAACGAAATCGTTAGATTAAAGGTTGTCCTAGCAAGCCGTTAGGTAATTGCCTTTCCCTTAGATGGGGGCTTTAGGAAATGGAGACAAAATAAATGCATTTGGCGTTAGATTCCTGCCCCCCCCCCCCCCCCATCTCCCCCCTCACACACCCTCCCTCCGGGCGTGAGTAATGGACTGTAATTAGCCGAAGAGACTAGGCGGAGCTCAAGTTTCAGACAAATAGCAACACCGAATGTTGCCGACTATTTCACACTAAACGTACGCTGTTGGGGTGTTTAAATCAGGGGTTCTTAATCGTTGGGGTACCCGTCCCTTCTCACTAAAAACAAATACTTTTAAAATTAATGTTTATTTTTTTTTCCTATGCAAAGACTAAACTTTTTAGAGTATTGGTCTTCACTTTGAACGTAGCTATTTATAGCGTAGGTCTATCGCACCATTTATTAATGTTCGAATGTAAACACTTTCCACATAATGAGAGCCTCTGGTTCTAGAGCTTGTTGATTGAGGTTCAGGTTGGTTGCACTCACCAAGACAACCATGGACCTTGTCACCATGACAACCATGGCACTTGTCACCATGACAACCATGGCACTTGTCACCATGACAACCATGGCACTTGTCCACCCACCCCACCCATAACAAGCATGGGTTTGTCAACCACACACCATGACAACCATAAACCTAGCCAACCACCCACCATGACAACCATAAACCTTGCCAACCACCCACCATGACAACCATAAACCTTGCCAACCACCCACCATGACAACCATGGGATTTGCCCACCACCCACCGTGGGATTTGTCCAGCAACATCTGCGCCTTTTAAATCCGACTGCGTCATGATGTAATCCAGATTAGCCGAAGTCAATCAGATTTCCCTGCTAGAATTATATGCTCCCCCCTTCCCCCCAATGCTCCCCCTTCCCCCCCCCCCCCATCTAAAACGTTACACACATTTTATTTCAACCCACTTATTTCAACCACAGACTTCAACTAAAAATTGTGAACAATTTTGCGAAGTTTATTGAGATCAATTTATTGACCTTTCACCCCATTTTTTCATTAAGCATGATCAGTTTTAATTGTCAATACGTGTGTGTGAGTGTGTGTGGTGGGGGGGGGGGGGGGGTAACTTAATAAAAATTTTAAAATTCGATACGTTGCTGTTTTTAAAATTCTCTACAGGTGCGTTAACCCCGCCTATAATTAGCAGGTAAACGATGTGTGATATTAATTTGTAACTTAAGTACTTGTTTTATTTTTTACATGGTTTTGTTGAATTTTAGAAGGGATAAAATTTAGCATTCACATTTTTGGAGATTATGTGACTTGTGGTGGTACCATAATGACATTTTTACATTGGAGGGACGGTGGAGGGTTGACAGTGCGTTATGTTGTCTCAATAAACTTTTGACCCTGATTAATGTAGGTCACGTGTCCGGTGCCAGCCAATCGCATACCCAGGGATTGAGTCACGTGATGAGGGTGTGGCTGTTGACATATAAAACTGTTGTAATATGATATGATATAATATAATATATATATAATATGATGTCCAGTAAGTCTTCCAAAGCCAGCAACATTTCCCTTAAGATAGATTTTTTTTCTATGCTGGCCCATGTTCTGGATGTTGAATTTTTTGTAATTTTTTTTGAGGGGGGGGGGTTGTTGTGATGGTTGAGGAGGGGGGCAACCTCATTAGTCTATGTACCGACCTTACTCGTCACGGCGGGCAAATACTCCCGTGACGTAGTAGTTTACTTTGACGTTCGTCAAAAGCTGACCATCACCATCAGATCTCTCCACGAAGAGGAATCAGAGGAAGAGGTGGGACGATCAATATAATCTGCTCAAAACATTTAGAGTCAAACATAAACTTGGGAAAGTTCCAAGTCTTAAACCCCAAACTTGGCATACAGCCCCAAACTTGGCACATAGCCCTTAACTTGGCACACATTCCTTAACTTGGCATACAGCCCCCAACTTGGCATAAAGCCCCCAACTTGGCATAAAGCCCCAAACTTGGCATAAAGCCCCAAACTTGGCATAAAGCCCCAAA